CTCCTTTATGTTCACCTGTCTGGGTCCTTTTACGTGCACATAGTGGATGAAAGGAAATTTTACTACTCATGCACTTATGCCTTTACCTTCTTTGATGGATTCCCAGTATATCAAGCAACCAAAGGCTTATTATTTTTATTTTGACTGCTAGTATGAACACTAAAAATATCTACAGAAATATTGAAAAAATTGTTTTCTTGAGAACAGCTGTAAGGCCCAAACTATTTCTAACAGAGATTAATGCTGTTTATCCTGTGGTGTAAAGAATGACGTGTGGTCTAGATGTCAGAAACTCATCTGTGGAAAAAAAAACCTCACTGTTTATCACAGAAGTTTCAGTCAGGACATCCAACATGGCTATTCACTTCTCTAGTTGCTTTCCGCTGGATTCCATGAGCACCATTTTAGTGATTTAACTAATTTTTGTTCCCTCAATTGGAATGAATAGACGTTTTGTTATTATCTATTTACTATTGTTTTTTTTTAATTTTGACTTTATACAGACTTAATGCACCCACTCATTCAAAACCAAAAGCATGGCTATCATGGATTATTATCTGGACTGTATAGAGCATTACCTAAATGTGTAATGCTTATATGGCTTAAGAAGTTGGGGAATCATTCAGTGGCATTGAGTAGGACTGTATTGTGTTCATAAATTGTTGGTTTTGATTGTTTCACTTTGAGATAATTCACTCTGAAAATTATGAAGCTCAGAGGAGTAAGTAGAGACCATCTGGCCAGCTAGAAAACGTCATAAACATCATATTTAAGAAAACTGAATGCATAATTATTTTAAATGTCAAGATAAAAGAGCTAGACTGAAAAGACACTGGGAAAAGGGGCTAGCAGTACTTGCTTCTATATAATTTATGGACATATAGAAGGAAATTCCTTTCAAAAGTGAGTACAGATTTCAGTTTGGTCACTGAGTGGAACTTAAAACCGCCTTTTTTTTTTTTTTTTTGTCACGACTGGTTAATTTTATTTGGGGTGAACAAAGGATATATAGTTCTTGGGGGAGTGAGTGGAGGGTTCCCAGGGTAGATATACACTATCGACTAGGACTAGGAATGCCAGGCATGCTTCACTCGCATTTGCAGCACAGGCCTATCATATGAAGGCGCAGAGCTTTTGCAGGGAAGCACGTCAAAGTCCATATTCCAGAAGTGGTTAGAGGCGTCTGTGCCTACAGACACTCTCCATGAATTCACACAGAGAAGAGGAAACCTCACTGATAAAGTGAGTCCTGCATTTAATGCCAAGCTCAGGGCTTTCCCATCATGGTGGACTGTAACCTTAGCAGGAGGGTTTCCCAACATTATGTCAGGCAGCAAATTCCATAAAAGAGATAGATTGATAGTGACAAATCCAGGGAGAAAAACTCAGCAGAACACAGCCCTTCAGTGGTTGTTGTTGTTGAGGGGAAGGGGTGAACTACCCAAGGTGAGCCCTTTGCGGCAATCTCTGGTATTGTTGGGATTTTTTGTTCAGACTTTGCACCTAAAATTAGCATAATTTGGGTTGGGTCCTACTGAACAGCTGGAGATGACCTTTGTGACAGTTACAGAGGCTAGAAATACCATTGACAGTTAGGTCTAGGACAGGCTGTTCACTGGTGCCTCTGGATTTACCTGGACTTGAGGGTCAGTAATTAGGACTGAAATATAAGCATCAGACCAACCCCCAACACCACACCCTGAAACTGTTAATGATGGTTTCTGCTATGCTTGCAGAAGTAGCCTAGTATAGCTGTCCTCAGAGAGGCTTCACACAGCAGCAGATTGAGACAGATGCTGACTCACAGCCAAACATTAGGTGGAGCGTGGGGCCTTGTGGAGCAATGCCATTCTTAAGAGAGGCTTGCAGAAAGGACTATCTTTTAAAAAATATAATGCTAAATTTCTTTCTGGCAATGTTAAGTAATACCATCTTACACGGCTTTCTTATATTTTCTATACATCCTCTCCTTACTTTCCAGCATTCTTTGCTCATCTTGTTTTCTGATTTTCAGCCAGGAAGCACGAGTGCCTTTAGTATCTGTGAACTCTTGGTAAATGTTTCCCTTGTGTGCACTATTTCTTTCTTCTGCTTTAGCAAACCTACTGTTGCCTATGTAGGAAATGGGATGATATGAGAATGATTTCACAAATCCCACAGTTCATTAAAAATTATGTAGATTCATAATATTTACAAAGAGAAGAATGTTGTAAAGAAGGCTCTAAAGAAATCTCTCTCATCTTAAAGACACACTAACTGCTCAGTACGGGATCCATGCTTACCAAAGGCCATTTGCTTGGTTAGTGTAGAAGCACATTCATGGAAAAACAAAGTCTTACTGCATACTGAGGGCATGTTTTTATATGAATATGTCTTGGAAAAGCTTGCTTGCCCACTACAGTGGAACCTTAAATACCTAGGAAGTTCTTTATGCTGGATCAGGGGAACTAGTTTTGGCAAGTAAGGCTTCCAAGCTCCAGATCCATCACAACAAGCTCAGAGCATGCAGCTAGGCAGCCTTGCCACTGCTGAAACTTTTCAAACGTCTTCAAGCTCAAGCACTTCAGTTTAGGTTATTTTGAAGTTCATTTCCAAGCACATAGAGAAAAATTCTCGATGTCCATGATTTTTTTCTCTAAATAACTCTGGGACAATAGCATCTTGGCTTTACAAATATGAACCAAATTCTAGGGTCAGAAAGATCCATACAAAAGGGCTTTGTGTGCTGAGGTGTCTCAAAAATGTCTAATAATTGTGTTTAGGCTCTGCTGGGGGTACCCAGAGCGCTAGTGTATGTTCTGCTGCGCTGTTTTTATACTGCTACAGTGATTTGAAAGGGCGAAACTCTACTCGTTCCAACACCTTTTTAATAATGTGAAAAATTGGATGCCACCCCAGGGAAGTTACGTATTTCTCCCTCCATAGAGCAGTGATTGTACCTCTCTTTCCTCTTCTCTTCCCTTCTCATTCTTCCTTCCCTTCTTCCCTTCCTGTGTTTTTATTACAATACTTCTTTATTTATGCTTGTTCCTTTGTTATCTCTACCTTTGAAGCCAACAACCATCTAAGCTTCATGAAAGGGTGCAATTCCTTCTTTACTCTTGTAGCCTGATGCCTTAGTCCTTGTTCAGAAAATCATTATTAATTCAAATAATTTATAATTGCTCATATTTAAAATCTACTTTTGGAAATGTGTAAATGTTAAAATTTAATTAAAAGTTATAGAACTTCTAGAGTTTCATCAAGATTTTAAAAGGTTATAGAGTATGTCAGTAGCTCAAAAATAAATTGAGTCATAAACTCCTTTCACAATTTAAATTTATGAAGTGATATATTAAACAATTCTCAGTCCTTATTTTTGCTTGATACATGATAAAATCATTTACAAAAAAAAGTTATTTACAAAAAAAATGTTGTATCAAATACTGCCTTAGTTAGGTTTACTATTGCTGTGATGAAACACCGGAACCAAAGCACCACGGAAAAGAAAAGATTTATTTGGCATACTTCCATCTCATTTTCTATCATTGTAGGAAGTCAGGACAGGAACTTAAACAAGATAGGAACCTGGAGGCAGGAACTGTTGCAGATGCCATGGAAGAGTGCTGATTACTGGCTTATGCCTCATGGCTTTCTTTCTTTCTTTCTTTCTTTCTTTCTTTCTTTCTTTCTTTCTTTCTTTCTTTCTTTCTTTCTTTCTTTCTTTTTTTCTTTCTCTTTCTTTCCTTCCCTCCTTCTTCCTTCCTTTCCTTTTTTAAGAAAACTTTTAATTGATTCTTTGTGAGTTTCACATCATGCATCCCAGTCCTGCTCATTACCCTGTTCCCTTATATCTGCCGTTTGCACTTGCAACCTCCCCAGAAAATAACACACACACACACACACACACACACACACACACACACACACACTCCACCACCAGCACCAGCACCAGCACCGTAAACAACAAAATAAAGCATAGAAAACATCTTGTCATAAAAGATGTAGTATGTCACAGTGTGTCTTGTGGTGTATCCCTCTGTCCACACAACTCCACTTGCAAATGCTCATTGTAATGAGTCATTGGTCTGATTTGAGGTCTCTGGCTTCTGTCACACCATCACTATTGGATCTTCATTGAGACTCCTCCCTGTTATCTTGCTGTTGCCCTGTGTCATGGAGATCCTGTGGTTTGGGATCAGCAGGACCGGTTGTTTTACTAGTCCCAATCAATGGCAAATGATACATATTATGGGGCAGGCCAATTTAGAGCCCTGGATCTGGGCCTGGATGATAGCTGAACTGGTCAGATCTCCCTTATTTTCACCATTCAGGGTAAGCTCACCAACACTGCTCATACTCATCAGCAAAAGTCAGAGTTAGCTCTCATGCTCTCATGCCCTGGGAGATGACTCACTTGCACCCACAACTGCAGAGCAAGCTCCACTGTGCTGTCCAGTCAAGATAGAGAAGCCATTTTCCCATGTGCTACAGACTGTGAGGGGCCAGGCCAGCTCTTCTGCTCTCATACCCTTGGGGCTGGCTCACTCTTGCCTTTGCCACCAATGCCAGCTCCCCTGTATTGCTCTGGAGAGATGTAGGGCTCACTTTTCCAAGTGCTTCAGCTAGTGAGGGGCAGAGATAGCTCTCCTGAGTTCATGTCCCTCAGCTTGGGCTGGGATCCCACCCAAGGTGGCAGAGCTGGCCATTCACAATAGTCTACTCCTAGCTGCCCTCAAGTCTCCAGTTATATCTCTATTCATAATTCTTTAGCTGCTCCACTTCTCTTTCTCTTCCACCTGACAACCACGTAAGTGCACATCATGGAGGCTCTTGCTGCAGGCTGGCTATACAGCTGGTGAATCCCTGTGTGACATTCTCCATCCATGCTGCGTGCTGTGGTGGCAAATGCTTATCTACAGGCCCAACTGTGCCATGCGCTAGAGGCCGGGTCTGTGGGTGGAATGGTGGTCCAAAGGTCTGTCTTCCTTCTCCAGTATTTTGCTGCCTGGATTTGATTTTTATGAGTCCTAGATATATGACAGCTTTAGCCATCAAGTCAGGCATTAAGCTAGGATGATAAGCAAAAGACTGCGATCTGCTCTTCCCCTGACTGATATAAGAACGGCACCACCAACACAGTGTCTCTTTGCCCACTGCTGGGAGTGGGGCAGCAGCCTACTTTTTTATAGAACCCATGACTACCAGCCCCCAGGGATGGCACCACCCACAATGGAACAGGCCCTCCCACATCAAACACTAATTAAGAAAACACCCAACAGCCTTGTGTATATCCTCATCTTAACAAAGCATTTTCTCAATCCAGGTTCCCTCCTCTCAGAGGACTCTAGGGTGTCAAATCGACATAAAACTATGCAGCAAAATGCTGCTATAAAATTAGTTTTTAAAACTTTAAGAAAAAATAATAGCATTCATAAAGAAAGCTGTGATTTGGCCAATTGAAAATTTTTCTTTATTCTTTAACAGAATTATACTGTAAAGAGAAGGTATATAATAAGCATACTAATTTCCAAACCTTTTATTTTCATGACGGTAAATATATTTATACTTTAAATACTCATTGTAGAATTAAATTTACAGCAACAGTCTTCACAACTCAAGAAACTGCTGTTTGGAACTATTGTCTTTTTCTAATTTTCCAAAGCTAAATAACGAGGGTGAGGACATTTTTCAGGTAGCTATGTTTATGTGCTCTTTCAAAAATTGGAGTCTGAAGCCTCTTGGCTTTTCTGCTACATGAAAAGAAGAAGAAATGACAGAAATATGTAAAGGCAATGGATAATGAGGTAGTGATCTAACTAAAAGTTTACAAGCTATGTAACAGACAGTAGTAATGAACAGAATGGAGGAGTTTCAAGCTTGTGTCCTCCAGAAGTCAGAAGGCTCAAGATTTGGGGACAAGAGATAGAGGCTGAGCAGTTGAATGAATAAAGTTGGAAAATATGAGGCCTGTAAAAGTTTTTTAAAAGATTTTGAAAATATTTCCTAGAAGGGAAAGTGTGATGAAGGAGAGTGGCCTTCTCTATGAACAAACGAATGAACCACTTTCTGGAATTCATGTATTTGTCTTCTCCCCATCCATTCCTCCAGTCATAATGCTGTGTGCTTTTAACACAGTCAAGGGAAAGCAGAGCATACGAGCAGTACTGTGATCCAGGCACCCTGCTGGACATGTATTATTTGCTGTGATAAGGGCTAGAAGCAGGCAGGTACCAGGAACTAGAATTCTTGGTAACATTATTAGACAATTCTGGACAGCAAATGTCCTAGAGAAATCTGGAATCAATTGCAATAGCAGAAAAAAATGTCTGAGAATAAGTGGACTAGGGAGTGGACAAGGCTTCTTCTCAGTGAAAGGCAGATGGACATATGGACTTGGCGTCATGATTCAGGAAACAAGACAGACAAGAGTGTGTTTAAAAAGAGAAAATACTGGCTGGAGGGTCAGCTGGTAATCATATCTGTGAGAAGCAAGAAAACGCTATGATATAATGTTGAAGGGAAATGAAGGTGAGGTCATTTTTGGTCATTCAAATTAACTTTCTGTGAAAAGAAATATAATTAAATCCAAGTCAGTGAACCGGTTCATCTCACTATATAGACATGCCAGAGTTTCCTGGTTAGAGTAAGAGAGTGAAACTGGTGATGATTAGCTGGAGCAGGATCCAACTTTAGCTCAGTCTTTCTTCCTTTTTAATGGGGAACTTGGCTCTCCCTATCCTTCCTGGGAACTCTTTTATTAATATTCCACCAGAAGATGATTTACTTTGCTATATCGTATATGGTCAAATGCCAAAGCCTCGATATCCTTTCTATTTGTAGGCATACTTTGAGTCACTGTGGTGAACTTCAAAGGGCTCTACATTTTAATATCCTGATGCTCAGCAAATATTTTATCACTTGTCACAGTGCCAGGAAAACTTCCTATTAAATATCATAGCATCACATGTGCCTACTTTGAGATTTGTCATTTTTCTGTCATAATTTTTGCACATCTAAAAAGATTTTTTAACACATGAAAAAAAGAATCTCGGCTAAGTTTTAAAAAGCACATTACAATACCGGTACAATAATTTGTGTTGCCTGCAAATGAAACCCGCAAAGTGGAACAGCAAAATTGGATGTCGGATTAACGTATCCTTGTAGGTGCTGTTATCTTCTGATCATTTGAGTATGTGAAAATGTATACACTGTTGTGCTCTAAGTGTCAAAACGTGTGGTAATTTATTGAATCCTGCCTTATAAGATTGTTTTCCTGCATCCATAATTTTCTCCTTTGCCCCTCAAGTCTCTTCTCACCCTATAACCTGCTTGCTATGGGAGCTGGACACTGAACTCTAGTTCTCTGAAAGAAGAAACGTGTTTCCAGCCACTGTGAGCTATCCAGCCTTCATTCTACTTTTCTTAGGTAAGGCACTACTCACCCAGACCATTATTCCACTTTCAAAATAAATTTTAATATGTAATATTTTTTTCTTGAAATCAATTTCTGAGAAAATATGCAATGAAATCTGTATACTTTAAGCACGCAGTGCGATGAGTTGCAACAAATGTATTTGGCAAGACATGGATCATTTTCATATAAAGATAAGTGTGTTCAGGTTTTCACCTATTTTGTCCCTATGTCTAATCTAAAGATACAACTATTACATGTATCATTAAAATATGAAAAGAAATGGAATACCAAACAAGTAAAATTTTCAGCAATATAGGAAATTGTTTATAAATTATATATCTACCCAATTTAATATCTTTTAGAAATTTGAGCTGATCTAAGGAGAGAGTATTTAGATGCATAAAACAAGAGATGAGGCATGAGGTCTGGGATGAATCTTTGTGTGGGCATTCAATATTCACATGTTATTTAATGTACATTAACTGGTTATGGCAACGAAGAGAATGAAGTCAAAGAGATTAGGAACAAATGTGACTTGGAAGTTATCTGTACTCAGTTCATTTCCCATCTTACTTTCTTCTGGAACCTATCCAATTCGGATTTTTGCTAAAGATATTGACAAATAAACTTACCCAAAGAACAATGACCACTCCAATAACAAATACAATGGTCAGTTTTCAGTTTCCTTCACAAACCTTTCTACTTCAGTATCACTACCCTTGTCTTAGCTCCTAAGTTCTACATGCTTAGTTACTAGGTACTTCAAGCTTTCAGGTTTTATGCTCAGACATCTTAGAGTCAGCCAGAAATCATTTATCATTTCTCCCCTTACCTCCAATATTAAATTTTTCAGAAACTACTAATGTTTGGTTCTGTTTCTAGATCTTGGACATAAGTTTGTTTGTTTGTCTTTAAAACTAACTACTACAGCTGTAGGAATAGTTTATGGCTATGAAGTTCATCTACTTTAACTCTCTCTCTCTCTCTCTCTCTCTCTCTCTCTCTCGAGTTTGTATAGTTGCCAGAAGGCATCAGGGATTTTTTTGCAACTAGAGTTCCCAGACATTTTTGCACTGTCTGATGTTGGTGCTGCAACTGAACTCTGGTGCTTTGGTAATGCATTAAGAGCTCTTATATCATCTCTCTAGCTTCAACTTTTTCTATTTTGAGTGTATGGTTCCATGGAGAGAGAAGAGGGAAACTATCAATGCCATCCAATTTTGGAAATTTTCTTAATTGCCCGAAGGAGCTTAGGATCATTTGTAGTCATTTCCTATTTTTTATTCCCAATCCTGGGTAACCACTAACCTATTTCTCATCTCTATAGGGCTATTGTCTATTCTGGATACTTTTTATAAATGGGATCTTACAATAAGTGGTCATGCGTGGATAGAATCTTGTACTGGGCCTAATGTTTTTACTAAGAGTTGTTTGGAGACTTTTTATCAGTATTTATTGTTCTATTGTCTATTTTGGGCTACCTCAGCCTCTTAAAGCAAGGGCCAAGGGTATAGTTCAGAGCTCTTTGGGTACTATGAGCAAGGACCGGGATTCAATCCTTATATTTAAATTTTTCTTTATTTTTTTCAAATGCTTTTTCAGCATCTAAGGAGATGATTGTGTGTTTTCTCTCCTTCAGTTTGTTTATATGGTGGATTACATTGATGGATTTCCATAGATTGAACTACCCTTGCATGCCTGGAATGAAGCCTACTTGGTCATGGTGGATGATATCTTTTATGTGTTCTTGGATTCAGTTTGCAAGTATTTTTAAATTAATTATTTATTTTTTATTATTTATTACACTTTATTCACTTTGTATCCCCCCATAAGACCCCCCTCCTCCCCTCCCAATCCCACTCTCCCTCCCCCTTCTTCATGCATGCTCCCCCAAGAGTTTTTTTTGCATCAATGTTCATAAGATAGATAGGTCTGACATTCTCTTTTTTGAGGAATCTTTGTGTGGTTTAGGTATCAAGGTGACTGTGGCTTCATAGAAGGAGTTTGGTAATGTTCCTTCCATTTTTATTTTGTGGAATAGTTTGAAGAAAATTGGAGTTAGCACTTCTTTGAAGGTCTGGTAGAATTCTGTGGTGAAACCAACTGGCTCAGGGCTTTTTTTTGGAAGGGAGACTGTTGATGACTGCTTCAATTTCCTTAGGGAATATAGGTCTATTCAATCTTTCTACCTGATCTTGACTTAATGTTGGTAGATGGAATCTATCAAGAAAAATGTCCATTTCTTTTAGATTTTCAAATTTTGTGGCATATAGGCTTTTGTAGTATGACCTAATGATTGTTTGGATTTCCTCAGTGTCTCTTGTTATGTCACCCTTTTCATTTCTGATTTTGCTGATTTGGATAGATTCTCTCTGCCTTTTAATTAGTTTGACTAAGGGTTTGTCTATCTTGTTGATATTCTCAAAGAACCAGCTCTTATTTTTATTGATTCTTTGAATAGTTTTATTTGTTTCTAATTCATTGATTTCAGCCCTGAGTTGATTATATCTAGCCATTTGCTTCTCTTGGGTGTATTTTCTTCTTCTTCTTCTTCTTCTTCTTCTTCTTCTTCTTCTTCTTCTTCTTCTTCTTCTTCTTCTTCTTCTTCTTCTTGCTTTTTAGGGCTTTCATTAGGGCCACTAAGTTGCTTGTACGAGATGTTACAAATTTCTTTTTGAAGGCACTTAGTACTATGAATTTTCCTCTAAGCACTGCTTTCATTGTGTCCCATAAATCTGGGTATGTTGTAC